TCTTGATGTTTCGTATGTCTAGAACTATATGGTAGGAATTCATGTAGGTTTTGTGTCTTGGATCGTGCTAAGTGTTCAACATTGTGTTTCGTTGAACCATGATGTGTCTGGTGTGTTCTTCGGAACTACGTTTGGTTTACCCATTTGATAAGCATGCTTGTTCGGTGTTTAAATGCTAGCGTGTGTGTTGTTTGTACCTTCCTATTGTTAATGATGACTTGTGTTATTCATCGTTGTTGTTGGACTGTGATCCATTCCTTGATTGAGTATGGTTTCATATCTTCGTTGTGATCCGTTGATTGATTCCTATTGAGGTGTGGTGTGTGTGGCTGTACCTAGATTGCACGATTTCGGTTTATGGGGCCTTAATCACCAAGGTACAGCAGTGGTCCTCGTGGTGGCCATGACGCGATATGGAGTTTGTAGCCTTTGTGTAAGGTTCACGTATTTATTTCTGGGATAACATGTGTTATCCAGGGCATGTGTTGCCGTGTGTGATCGGTACCCTCGTGTACTATGAAATCGGTGGTTCTGTTAGAGGGACTGTTGGAGGGAGAACGACGGTTCCCTGGGGAATAAGGTTGGACTTGATGTACATGGGTCCTGGAGGTAAAGGTTGGAACTAGATATAAGGTTGAGGGTAGCCATAAGGTTGGAACCAGGCATAAGGAAGACATATCAATTCGTGATGAGTGATGTCACAAAGGCTTGTGTAGCCGTGGTTGTGTATTTCTCTATTTGTGACATGTGTTGTCACAAAGCCAATGTGTTGCCAATGGTTGTGTCCTTTCTCTTGTATCATGCATGTCGGGTGTTAATCTACTGTGTGATGGTAAATTATGCCTTAAGCCGTTCTTGTGAGTTGTTCTTACTTCTTGTGGTCTTGGGATGTGTTCCCGTATTCTTGTTGTGAGTGCATTGAGTCTTGTGTTGACTTCTGCTCTTGGTTTTGAACTTATATAATATATATATATATATATATATATATATATATATATATATATATATATATATATATATATATATATATATATATATATATATATATATATATATATATATATATATATATATATATATATATATATATATATATATATATATATATTATGTTTCGCAAATGATTTTACATACGTATAACCTATCTATGTATGATATTTCATATGTATTGGTGGGTTACCAGCATTATTCGTTGACCGGGCGTCGTCCCATCTTTTATGTGTTTCTTTCAGGTGATGTGTAGACGTGAGCGCGGTCTAGAACCTGCTAGTGTAGTTCCCTTTGTTTATGTTGTTATGGCCTGTGTGCCAAGGATAGACTATAGTACTTTGGTTATGTATAGATTTTAGATTGTGAATTATGCAGATGTTTAGCCTGTGCGTTCACCTCTGGGTGAGCGTGGCATAGCACCCTTTTCATTTCCAGTTTATATAATCTTTGTTAGTCTTCCGCTGTGTTTGATGTTTTGGTTAGTTATCTGCATGTTTAAGGCTTAATTCAGTATGGAAATTAGGGGTGTTACAGCAGTAAACTTCTTCAATTCACAGTAAACAATTTAGGCATGCTTTGATGGCTAATCTCAACAAATTAAGCTCATGCTTCTCTATTTAACAATCAAACAATGACATGCTTAGCATATAAAATACTCAAGTCTCATAAACTTAAACATATTCACTGTGAATTACTCAAACCAAACTCTGCAACAATTAGGCTTACAAATCTTAGCATAAAATGCTCAATTCTTCTCTAAACTCAACAAAATCAAAGCCAAAACGTGCGTCAAGATAGACCCGAGGTAATGAGCCACAAGGGACCTCGACACCCCATCCGAAATGACACGTAGCTGAGCCGCAAGGGCTCGGCCACTACATAAAGAACAACCAGCGGAGCTTGGGCGGGGCTAGGCTAAACCCGCCGCCTCCAACCACCCTAGACATGGATCTAGGCGACGGCCATCTCCTAGGGCCACCCCCTAGGGCCGGTCTTCTACGGAGCTAGCCAACGGTCTCCTTGTTGAGCCGTTGGCTAGGGCCGTTGATCACAGTGTGCACCAGATGATTTCCTTTCATCTGCAACAACAACTCAGGCAATTCTAACCCATCTAAAACATCAACAACACATCATATACCAATAATAGATCATGTAATAGCTCAAACACTTCAAATATATAGCATTTCTACTGAAAACATAAACTTCACAGAGTCTAGAAATAGCTTTGGGAGTCCATGGGTTATACCTTTGAAGCTTTCTTCTTCTTGCTTGGATTCCACCCTCTTCCTTAGCTAGCTACAACCTCCTTCACCTCCTAAACATCTCAAACAAACCAAACAACTACTTACTATCAAGATTTCAGAGACTAAGCTAGGAGGAACATAGATTAGAAGGAAGCAAGATGAGTGGATGAAAATGAAAGCTGAAATCTTACTGTGTTTTCCCTCTTGTGTTTGCAGAGCTCCAAGATGTGAGAAGCAGGGAATGGAATCAGGAGAAAATGAGGAGATGCTATTGCTTTTATATGGGTTCAAAACCCTAGGAGGATTCCATATGATTGGTTGATGGCAAAAGTGTAATTTCTTTGGCTAAAAGATGAATCAGGAAAAGCTTTGGATGGCTAGTGGTCCACCATGCTTTATGGACCAAGACTAGAATTGCTATTTTAAATAGTTTGGGGTAGAAAATGGAATTTTCCCAAAATGTTTTCTAGTTGATCACTTAGTTTAAGCTTCTCAGAATTCTCCCGGTTTCACTCAGATAGATTTCTCAGTTCAAAACGTGGCACGCAAAGTACCCGAAAAATCAGGATATTGGAATTTAAATCCATTCTTGGTGTCGAATTAAATTTAATTGGCTCAAAATAATTTATTCAACACCGCTTTCTTTGTAAAAATTTTTATGGAGTGAAAATTGGCTATTTGGATTTTCTTAAAAACTAATTTATAAAATAAAATTTTGGGTTGTTACAATAATGACCCATAATCTTAAGGTCATGACTTTTTTTGAAAGGAAGGTCACGACTTTAATAAGGTGCATATCTAAAATTGACAAAAATCTCTACCCAATATTGCAATTTCATGCCATACAGATTGCCCAATACACGGGCAATGTAATCTCGGACCTTCGCCCAAACTTCATCTCATTGAATTAATTTGGTCTTCTTTAAAATTTACCTTGTTAAATTAAAGGTGATGAGATTCAAACATGAGACTTTTAATTTAATATATCAGGTTTCTAACCACTCCATTCATATGGCATTTTGGTTAATATGCCATTCTTCTTGATATATTTCTTTCTTTCCAAAGATGCTTGATTTCCAAGGTAATTTCATGCAAACTTCAATTCACATCATTATCTTCTTCGAATAGGCGAGTATATGAGATTTTGAGTATACATATCATATGCATACATCTTCCTCTTCTGTTTTTCTCAAAGAATGGTCGCGGATTATTAAGCTTTCCACCACTATTCTACAACGGTTGCGAAATGTCTTTTACAACAGTAGCGGATGTACTGTTCTGTACTAGTGTTTAGCATCTAAGCATTTCACTTGTATTGTTGGTAGCCATGACTTCTTTTAGCAAGTTTGTTAGCATCCATATGTTTCTGCTTAAGATATTATATGCTAGCCGAGATTTTGCTACAAACCTTGCTACTTTTAGCAAGTTTGTTAGCAACCAAGCAACTTTTTTTTCTAAGCAAGTGTATTACTTGTAGCAAATTTTGTAGCATCTTCTTTATACTAAGGCAACCAAAAAATTGTTGTCAAGAAGATTCAACTTTGCACCTTGATTTCACATACCTTGCTAGCACTTTTTCTACACACTTTAATTTGTTGAAGATGAGACTCAAACTACCAATTGTTGTCAAGAAGACTCAAACTACACACTTTGCACCTTGCTAGCATGCTTGTTAGTACTCATGCTAACATTTTTAGTACTAGATAGAATAATTTAACTTCCATGGAATTCGAAGTTGAGACTTCTTTTGACCATCCATGCTAACAAGTATGCTACTTGTGAAAATTTTTCTCCAAGAAATTCAAACCATGAAACACATCCAAAGTTCCCTTCTTGCTATTTCTTTTACTACTAAGTTGACTTGACTTTGACTAGAGACAACCTTTGCTATACATTTTGCTACTCCAATAATTGTTGACTCTTGGGTTTGAACTTGGCACTTCAAGTTGTGTTGACTTTGATCTTCTACATGCCGTGCTCATGAACATAATCCACGCCTTTTTTTTTCTTCAAGAAAGATAGCTATTTATTTTTCTCTCCTTTTCCTTAACATGAATAACGTTTTGTTACTTCCCCTTGTTCAAAAATTCTTGTGAATGTTTGCTTCAAAAAAAAATAAAAAATACTAGACTCTAAAAACAAAATTTGGAAAACTAATTAAGTTTTTCAAATTACATTTTTGACTTGTCAAAATCTTACAATTATTCCTAACAAAGTAGTATTTAAAAATAAACATTGAAAAACTAGTGTGTGTGTATATATATATATATATATATATATATATATATATATATATATATATATATATATATATATATATATATATATATATATATATATATATATATATATATATATATATATATATATATATATATATATATAGACACACACACAGAGTTTATTTAGGAAACACATCATTCTCTTATATATGTTTCAGACTAATTTAATTTGCTTTTAAACTTCTTATTCATGACATTATGAGCCAAACATGCATCATTTTGAAATATGTTCTACAAAATTACAATAATTAAGGTATATAGTTTCATTAAGCATTGGAAAGTGGAAGGTCTGGCCTTGTAACCAGGACTGGAATCTTCACATTGTGTATAGAGTCACTCCATATTATAAACCTAGACAAACGTCATGTTTTTTCATCAGGAAAATTTCCTGATAAAGTAACCTTAAAAGATTTTTTCTCATTCTTATTTTCGAAGGTCAAACAAGTAGGAGAAACCTCAATGGATATATAGACCCTTTGCTGAATCAGTTTTGACCTTGTAAGTTGTCGAACCTTCCCCAAAGTTTGTAGTAGTACGATGAAATACACCCGTCGATGTTTGTATTGTTAAAAATGGTAATAATACGTAGATTAATGGAGGGGTAGTTGAGTCCATCTTTTCTAGTTGCTACTGAAAATGTTGAGCAGTCATTGGTTTTGTTACCAGTTATTTGAACTAATCTAGAACTGTTGTATCCAATCTTGCAAAGGAAACTTATGTAGGCATCTTCATCAATGTAAAAAACTAGGCCAGGATTTAATGCTACTGTCGGATCAATCATCCCAGCTCCATATGCAAATTCTGCATCCTCGTCCTTCACCCCTAGTGGTTTTGCTAAAGTCGATACAACAATATAACCCAAAAATATTTGTTATTTATAAGAAGTTAATATATACTAGACCCGGGCCTCAAGATGGAATCAAAACTGACCTGTAGTCATCAACGCTGACGTGATTGCAGCCGGTGACCAATCAGGATGGAAAGACTTTGCATAGGTAGCAGCAGCAGAAACATGAGGACAACACATGGATGTTCCCGACAAAATATTTTAGTTTGAGGTTCTTGTTATTAGGACTCTACTAGTAGTATTAGACTAGATCTCTATTTCGTGCCTTTATATACTTTATATCCGCTGCTCTTGATCAATACACAGAAAATATATTCTCATCTGGTATTAGCTAGGTTTTCTCTCATGGAAAATGTCGGTGTTAATGACGGCTTTGTTCTTGGTTCTTCTGAATGGACCATTACCAAGATTCCTACGATGCCTGCGAGTGGTAGCCTGTCATCGGTTCATCACTTCGTTTCTTTAAAGTTGACCTCTCGAAATTATCTATTCTGGCGAACTCAGATGCTTCCATTTCTTGAAGGCCAAGGGCTTCTAGGGTTTGTTGATGGTACAACACCCTTTCCGACGGCATCGCCGGCCTTAACGTCGACTGTGGACAGCGCCCCGGCGGCGGTTTCCGATTTCCCCGCCCGGCAGCTCGCTTGGCGTCGGCAAGACAAGGCAATCCTCTCCATGCTCATCTCCTCTTTGTTCGAGGAGACTCTTCGTTTCGCCGTCGACAAGGGCACCTCTCGGTAGCTTTAGCAGGTAATCGAACAAACCCTAGGTTCGTCTACCCACTCTCGTGCACTACGACTACTCGGCGAACTTCAGGGGCTCCGTCAAGGTGATTCCTCAATATCTGATTACCTTGGTCGTGCCCAGATGTTGATTGATGAATTGGCCCTTGTCGGTTGTCATGTTGAGTTGGATGATCAGAATTTATATGTGTAACACCCCGAAATTTTGAAACTTTTAAAACTTATATAATAAAGGTAAATTCTCATTAAATCCCAAAACTAAACATAAGAGTGCGGGGTGTTATGCCACATCTGAGCTGGAGAACTCAGATGCACAGGCTAAACTAACTAAATATCCTCAAAGCAATGTCAATACATAATCGTGGCACGCAGGCCGAAAGGAAAACTAACTAATCTACGCTTCGGATCTCTAGCGCGCTCCGGGGTCTACTCATCTGTGCCTGAAAGCCAAATATATCTGTTCAGCGAATAATGCTGGTAACCCACTCCAACGCGTTGAAATACAATATAGGTAGATATATATAGATATATGAAAACCGTTTTGAAGCAGGAAGATATATACTTAGGAGACTCTAGCTTTAAAACCAGGAATAGACTCGACAGGTAGGGATAAACACATTTAAACAATGATCAACAGTTATATAGAGACAATATCATAAAGTGTAACACCCCGTGTTACGACCCCTAAGACAGATTAATCATTTAATCAATTGCCCAAGAGAAAGAATTAAATTACAATAATTAATTGGGAAAAAGGCCCACCATAGTCCGTGGGCCCTCATCTCCAAACCCAACCCCTAGTCCTAGAAGGAATAGACCCTAAATAAGACCCCTAGATATATAAATAGGGAACCTAGAAGGAACCTAGAACCCCCACCACAATAATCTCTCACCACACCAAGAATTCCAAGAATTCCCCTAGGAGAAATCAAGAAAGAAGAAAGCTTACAGAAAGACCCTTCATAGCCAAGGAATTAATTAAGGCTAAGAGGTAACCCATGTCTCAACAAAACCTATTTTCATAGCTATGATTCCCCTCTTAGGATTTCCCCCATATTCTTGTGTGTTGATGATTCGTTATAATGACCTTGATAATTAGTGTTGTGATTCCATGGGTAATCTTGATGATAAGAGGTTCTTGATGATTATATGGTGTTCTTGATATTCTTGATGATTATATGATGTTCTTGATGTTTATATGATATTCCTACCGAATTGTGACATTAGAAGATGAATTGTGTTCTTGTTGATTTAAAAAGTAATTAGAACCCTAGGTTATATCGTGGAATTCCTACGGTATTATTCTTGGTAGATTGGGTGGGAATTTGTATGTTTGGGTGTTGATTATATTTAGAAAAGCATGATAGGTTATGTGTCATGGGTTTCTTGATTTTGATCCGTTAATTGTCTACGTGTGTTATCAATTGCATTTGAAAGTGTCTAAGCATGGTTTCGGGTTCCACAAAGGTTCCCGGGGCGTTTTTGGTGAAAAAGAGTTAGTGGGGGGTAGGTGGGGGTAGGGGACCCACCACCTACCCGCGGCCTATCTGGGCAACGCCGGCAGCGGGCAGCCATCGGGCGGGCAGCTGCCCGCCGGGCACCCGCTGCCCGGAATAGCTGCCGCCGGCGGGTGAACCCTCACCCACCGGCTACCCGCTGGTTTGCACCCCAATTCGAGATTTTGGCTTCCCCGTTTGATGTTCCCCCGACCCCCGTGGTGTCCTAACGGACTCCGTCTATCGTGCCTATGTCTAGTTTGATATTTCGGGTACCGTTCGTAGGTTGTATGAGTCTTATATATTGCATGCTAGTTGAATTGGTATCCCGTTGACCGAGGTGAAAGAAGTATGAACCCCTTAGGATTATTCTTAGTATGTAAAGGATCACGCATAGGTTTTGTTATACGTTTTCTCCCCCTTCCCAATGTGTTAATGTGGGTTGCATGTGCTTGCTACGTGTTATGTGTGCATGATACCCCAATTTGGTTGCAATCAAATTGGCTATACGGGCAGTTGGATGGGTTGAGAACCATACTGACTGTTAACCAGGCCGGTTGCGATCGGTCAGGTATATAAATATTATATAGGGCTGCGGTCCACCGTTTAGTTGCGATCAAATGGATTATACGGGCAGTCGGATGGGTTGAGAACCATACTGACTGTTAACCAGGCCGGTTGCGATCGGTCAGGTATATAAATATTATATAGGGCTGCGGTCCACCGTTCTACATGAGCTGCGGTTCATTTTCCTGGCTGCGGTCAGATGACATACTCTTGGGCTGCGGTCCACTGTTTGGTTGCGATCAAACTATGATGAGCTGCGGTTCATCGGTCGGTTGCGATCGACCCCTCCGTATTGTGAGACGGGGCAGGGTGCTGCGGGGCCGTGTCAGAGCTATATGCGCTGACCCTCATGTATGGGCATGCGATTGGTCCTGTGGCGCCAACAAAGTGTGCTTATGTGATGAGATATGGATGAGTTGTGATTATGAGTATCTTGGGGATGTGACTACGGGATTTACGTTGGGGATTGTTTATGTTGGGTTATGATTATTGATTATGCTCAGCCTTATCTACCTTGCCTGTTGCGTACTATATATGCTTGCTATAACTGCCGTTTGCGCTTAGCTCTATGTGTCGAGTCTATCCCTGTTTTAAAAGCTAGAGTTCGTAGGATATATCTTCATGTTCAAAATGGTTTTCATATATCTATATATATCTCTATATGTATTATATTTCAACGCGTTGGAGTGGGTTACCAGCATCTCTCGCTGAACAGATATATTTGGCATTCAGGCACGGACGAGTAGATCACTGGAGCGCGCTAGAGGTTGGGGCGTAGTTTAGATAGTTCTTCCCTTTTGGCCTGCGTGCCATGATTTGTATTGATACTGATTGAGATTGTTAGAACTTAGCCTGTGCACCTGAGTTCTCTAGCTCAGGTTTGGCATAACACCCCGTGTCCTTATAAACGTATTTTGGGATTTATAATCATTTACCTTTATTATATTGTCTTTAAAAGTTTTAAAAATCCCGGGGTGTTACAGTTGGTATCAGAGCTTAAGTTTGACCATAAGATAAGACTATTAAGAACAGACCTTAGGACTTGAACTCTAGGTACTTAGGAACGTAGGACTCGGGGATCTTAGGACGCGCGGCAAGATTGTGAGACCTACACATAAACCCCCACACTTTATCCCTCCCTTATCTAAAGCTTTCCCCCGCTTATCACATCGAAAGAACACCAAACTCTAATCTAACGTCTGATAAAACGTTGACCCAGAAAGACAACAGCATGGCACTAAACAGGAGACAATCAAGGACTCCAGAACCCGCCATACACGACCCCCTGACTCAAACCCTACAACAGCTAACACAAGTCGCCCAGGCTCTAAGCGACGTAGCTCTCCACAACAACAGACCCCCGCCCCCTCCATCAAACGCAAACTCAGACGTCGCCCGACAAGTTTCCAACCATCGACCGCCCACGTTCTCAGGAGAAGAGGACCCCGTGATCCTAGAGGAATGGATCCGGACCCTCGACAAAATTCTAGGGCTCGTGGAATGCCCAGAAGAACGTCGCGTGGAGATAGCCTCGTTCTACTTCGGACACGAGGCCGATCTCTGGTGGATCTATGAGGGGCCCGCTTATCAACAAGAACCAGGGTTCGACTGGGAAAGCCTCAAGACGCGACTACGAGAACGATTTTATCCAACACACGTAAAGGCGTCCATGTACGAAGAGTTTCTCCATTTGAAACAAGGGACAACTACCGTCATGGAATACCACAAACGGTTCCTTGAGCTAGCACGCTTCGCACCCGAACTAGTCCCCACCGAGGTAACCAAAATAGAGAGGTTCGTGTCGGGCCTCAACTTTGAAGCCCGAAAAGCACTAATGGTAAGCAGACCCCAGACTCTCAACGAGGCTTACTCCAGTGCCGCTAATCTCTACCGAATCCAACTACTCCAACGCGGGGTTCAGGAACAAATACGAAAGAGGAACACCGGAGGAGGGGCGCCACCGGTAAAAAGAGCAAGAAACGACACCAACATAAGACCGAGTAACCTGGCCAACCAAAGGCCACCCCCGGGAAATAACGATCCTAGCGCCCGAAGCTTTCCGTGCCCGAGGTGCAACAAGAACCATAGAGGCAAGGATTGCATGGGCAATCCCTTACGATGCTTCAACTGTGGAGAGGAAGGACACAAGGCCTTCCAGTGCACCCAACCCCAAAGACCACGCACCACCACCACGGGTCAACACGGGGGCACCGCTCATCACGGAAACTACGGCGCTCCCGGAAAAATATACGTCATGAGCCGCACCTAGGCCGAACTCGGGAACGAGGGCAACCACAAGGAAGGGAATCTAGCCCCAGAAGACGAGGACCATACCAATCCCGCGGAAGAAAATTAAGAGGACGAGTTCTGTCTA